CTTGAGTGTCATTTCATAAGTGTTTCCTCGTTTAAATCTTATAGATGAAAGACGTTTGTTAATGCACAGAGTGTGTTTATTTGGAAAATCACAAACCCTGGGCTCATGAGGGAATTTCCATTTTCTCCCAGAGGATTTTGTTGTTTTTTCAAGGGTCAGGTATTAACTCCCTCTCATTTTAATTGTCCTGTCCATAACTGGAGTATTGCTGTAACTCAAAGTGGACTTTAATCTGTGCTGGAATAACTGGAGAGATAAAGTGCCTTTAGAGAGCTTCATAGTTTTTTTTTTTATAATTCACAATTACTTTAATGAAAGATAGAAGACTGGAAACATTATCTCATAATCAGACAATCATGTGACTGTTGGGAATGTGTTTGCATCACCTTCTACAAAGACCTAAACGCTAGTCGTAACTCTTAATGACTTTTATTTTGTATTTTTATGTCAGACATGTGACTAGCATGTTTGTGCTCGCCTTATATACAGTTGTACAGAAAATAATAAAGAATTTATATTTGGTATTACAATGCTTAGTTTGACTCTGGATGTTGTACAGAATGACTGTGACCCAAAATTAAACTCATGTGATTCTCTAGTCTATTCTTTAAACCTATTAGAAACTCAGATTAAAGTTTGGAGTTAATCCCGCTATTTCCCATTCATTTTATTGGCAGTCATTTATGAGTATTTCTAAGGACCATTTAACCTTTTTGACTCATGTGGGACCCCGTTGTAACATCCTACAAGGTAAAAAAAAAAAAAAAATCATGACATCTCGACTCGAAGATAGTAATAATATTCACGTTAATCAGATATTGGTTGTGTCTGAAATCGCACCTATACCCTCATATCAATATCAAATTTATTTCTAGAATACAGTTCCAGTAGCGAGATTGAATGTGAGATTGAATAAGTGCACTCAATAACGTCCACAATGGTTTCGGACACCCAAATGGCTGTTCCCTCAAATAGTGCCCTATTTAAAGTTTTTTTGGCTTTTAGTATGAATATGTTAGCCTTACTGTTATCTATTAGCTGGTGTGCTCCTAAACAATGACAAAATTCGCATTTAGAAGACCAAACCCAATGTTGAAAATGTCAGAATCGAACGTCAGATTGACGTCAATCTCCAAAATATTGTTTTGTGATTGAAAATCGGGTTGACGTCAGAATCCAGAATCAGTCTGTCCGACGTTGGATGTTGACGTCAATCTGACATCGGGTTCTGACGTCAACCAGACTTTCATTTCCAAACAAAATGCAACCAAAATCATCCCCTGACTGACGTTACTACTTTCTACTCAAGGGTCTTGACAGAAATGTAGTGGAGTAAAAAGTACGATATTTGTCTTTCAAATGTAGTGAAGTTAAAATAAAAAGTTTCCAAAAAAATAATACTCAAGTAAAGTACAGATACTCAAAAAGTGTACTTAAGTACAGTACTCAAAGTAAATGTACTTTATTACTGTCCACCTCTGCTCATGTACACAATTTATTTGTGTTCTCATAGCAAGTGGTCATAAGTGACTGAAGAGCACCAGAGGGTTAAATCTATATTAAAATAAAATAAAATTGTACCTTATTTCCTCATAAAATTATTAGTATATAATCAATACGTTTGTAAATCAAAGTCAATTTAACTGAAATGTTTAGTCAAATCAAATTCTTATATAAGTAAGTGTTGGGGAAATGCATTACAATATTCCGTTACTCCCTAAAAAAAAGTAACCAATCGCGTTACTTAATGTTACATTACTTTTGCATTACTTTCTCACCTGGACTGGGCTTGTTTGTTTGTTTTTTAATAACAACCACAAAAAAGTTATACTTTTGGTAAATGTAAATGCCTTTTCACTCCAAAGGTGAAATGGATAAGCCTCAGGCTGAAGAAAATGCAAATCACTCCTGTACAGTAGAGGGCGCATCTCAAACTAACCTTTTGCAAAAAAAAGCCAATGTTTTGTTTACCTAAAGTCATTCTTGCTTATTAATTTGGTTGAATTGGATCACCGAAGGTCAGCAGCAAAGACATTGGTTAATAAATTGAGATTAAATACATAAAGTATATTTGTGTAATTTAACATTTAATTATTACAGGTTTGCATAATCAGAATTTGCCTTTCACTGTTTTTATTCACTTTGAACAATACTGAATCTGTTTTTGTGCAAGTGAGATGAGTAAATGCATGCCAGAACTCCATCATATTTACACAGCTCCTCTGCACCTTAATCACGATTTCTCTCAGCATTGGGAGAAGAGAGGTGTCAGTCGATAAATGGGAAAACAAAGTAACTCGGATATTTTGTTGGAAATTTAAAAGCAATGCGTTACTTTACTAGTTACTTGAAAAAAGTAATCTGATTACATAATGTGTCGATAAGGATTGTTGGAGTAATTTTGCTTAAAAAAACATCCATTGATTGCTTAAGCTATAGTATTGATTTAGGGTCCAAGACTCTGCCTAGTTTCTTCAGAGTACAAAGACCCATGTCTGCTCGTGCCTTCACTCTGGCACGGGTTAAAATTAGCCCCTGACGGCTCCATTATAGCTCACAGCTGTCACTACGCAGGGGAAAGTCCAACATGTCTGGAATGCACCATCAGGGACCAGAAGACAGTAAGTTGGATAACTGCCACTCTTACTAAATGTCCCCTCTCACACTGATCGCACTTCTTTCTATCTAGAAGCAAATGTCATAGACATAGCAGTTATTCAGCGTTTTATCATTTTGTTCATCATTTGTAAATCCAGTCTCCCCTCAGAATGCATTTTAATGGTCATTGATCCCTCCAAAAAGACTTAACACACAGTCATTCTCACATTTCCGTCATTCAGGTGTGCGCAGTTGGTAAGGCAAGACAGTCTACACCATCCTGCATAAACACACTCATTAATCTAAATATAGCACCCTCCCTTCCTTCTTTCTGCATGTGACTGTGCGTGTTGTTGTCATGCTGGTTGGTCTGAGAGCAGATGAGATCTGTCACATGAGCTGGTGTCGGAGAGGCGAGAGATCACCCCTGCAGCACTCTTTTCAAAAAACACTGCATCTGCACTCAGCGTTCCTGCTTAATCGAATAGTGTACGGAGTGACTTGCTGAAGTTCTGCAGGAGAGACAAAGAGATCAAAGCCCTCAAAGAGATCTGGCCCTTTTTTTATTTTGTGAGATGAAAAAGATGTTTTTCAAATGTTCACACTACTCTAGTCCATACAATGAAAGTTAATTGTCATCAAGCTAAAACAAAATACATAAAATATAGGAGGAAAATCATGGAAAGAATGTATCAAGGTTTCTACAAAAATATTAAGCAGCACAACTGTTTTCAACATTGATAATAGTAAAGAAATGTTTCTTGAGCACCAAATCAGTATATTAGAATGATTTCTAAAGGATCATGTGACACTGACTGGAGTAATGATGCTGAAAATTCATCACAACTATATAATAGCAATTGAAAATATATTAATAAATGGCGGATGGATTATCTCGGCAAAGGAGAAGTGCTCACTTACACAGATTTAGACAGATTTGTGAACAATATTTGAGAGAAATAGGCCTTTTGTGTACATAGAAAAAGTCTTAGATCTTTGAGTTCAGCTCATGAAAAATGGGGGCAAAAACAAAAGTGTTGCGTTTATAATTTTGTTCAGTGTATTTAAACAGAGAAAAGCATTCCTGCACAATTGTTATGCAAAGTCAATATTATTACAAGAATAATGTAGTAATATAAAACAACAAGACTTATTTGTGTCAATGGCAGGGTAAACAGTGATACTTCAATTTGTGGATGTGATCCAATGATGGCATAGTTTGGCAGCATTAGAAAAACACATAAGTATGAAATTCAGTTAATCATTTTTAAAGGACATGCAATTGGATGATAAAGGAGAGAGAGTTATGTAAATGCCTTTTATTAGAAATCAGCTCAAAGGAAAGATGAGTCATACAACGCTTACATTTATGAGTGTTTTTTTCCAATGCCGAAGCATCATGTTGCATCTCTTCCCAACAGCAGACTGAAGGTCTCTTTAAAGCAACAGACTCTTTTAACACATCAAGCAGCCGTCTTCCTGTTGGCAGCGTTCAAATCACTCAGTCCTTTTCATTTGCTTACAAGTTTCAATGACAATGAGTTAATAAGTACAGACTGAGATTTTTTGGATTGATTGTCAAGTTTCGCTCAGATGTCACCTTGCCATAAATATGCAATAGATATGTAAAATAAAAAGGTTAAACAGCATGTACCCTTCCATTGAACGTACTATCTGTTTGTCTAAGTACCCCTTTAACCCCCCCAGGCTGCTGTTCACTGGCTGTATGAAGTGTGACTTCAGTCCACAAGCCTGTCCAGCCTCGTCACTTTCATTTCTGACTGCTGTGTACACTGTGTTGTTGTTTTTTACAAGTTCTCTAGACAGTTCGAGAGTTAAAGCAGTACTGTATTTATTTTGGTATGTTTGTGTTATATTTTAGAAATTTACACCTCTTCCAATATAAAACGATACTGTATATATAGTCAAAAATCTAAATTTCTAATTTCTCTGTTGCATGACTAAATCTAACTGATCGCTATAAGCTAAAAAGTTTTACTAAAATAATGCAAAGAAAATGCAAAACATATAATATGTATTTATGTATGTATATATTAGTGCTGTCAAATCGATTAAGCGCAATTAATTGCATCTAATATAAATATTTGTTTATATAATATGTCTATGATTATATTTATTTATACATGTTATATAAATGTGTGTATGTGTATGCATATATGTATATGTATATATATATATATATATATATATATATATATATTTAATATATATATTTGTGTGTGTGTATATATATATATATATATACACATACACACAAACACACACACATATATATATATATATATAATGTATGTATACTGTACATTTTTTTGCATCATAGATAAAAATACTCTCCTTGGCAGTGGTAACCAATGTAGAAAAATACAATGAGTCTAAAAATGGCATAAAACTTTCCAAAATATTGTAATATGGCAATACAAACCCAGACTCGTTCAATTGCTTTGATAAAAGGTCACATGGCAGATAACTCCCACTGGGGCAGATATTGCAGCAAACAGTTTCTTCTCTAAAGGCACAAACACTCCCACGCGCCACATGTTTACTTCTCGACAGAAATCTCTCGGTGCCCTAAACTTTCTGCCAATTCTGGGCAGAAGGAGATCCCATCTGTAGCCCAGCGAAAAACACCTGGTACCTGTGCTTCCAGATGAGGAAAGCCCCCAGCAGACAGATGATCGCTTGAGCCAGGTTCAGCAGCATCTGCAGAAGGTAATACATCGGTAGAGTGCTTACGATGGCACTGCAGTCTGTCACACCTCTGTAGGTGAAAGTGCGGGCGATGGGGTCCTCAGAGTCCAGGGAGCACAGACAGTCCTCCTCCATTTCCTTGCAGCTGTACCTGTTGGTCAGGGCGTAATGGTAGCACTGGAATGCGATGACCAGTACGGAAATGACCAGCCCCATAGTGCACAGGAAGAAGTACAGGAGCTGGGCAGAAGTCATTTGTGATGATTAAGGCAGGGAGATGGAAATAAGATTTTAATAGACTAAAATGCCTATACTTGTTCATTTAAAACCAGCTCAGTGCCTTGGTGACTCAGGAATGTTACTGGCAATATCAATGTTCCATTAAATATAAAAGATATGCCTAATTAAAGAGACAGTTCACCACGAAATGTTAATTTTGTCATTAGCACACCACACAAAATGTATTTCTTATGTGAAACACAAAAGGAGATGTAGGCATAATGTTTACCATACGATAACAATGGATTTTAAATGGCAAGCCCCATGCAAACAACAACAACAACGCACCATGCGAGTATCATAAATGTGGTCTTGTATTTTGTGGCTTTTTATTTTGTAAATAATGTTAAATCTGCAGTAGCGCCAGGTTCCAAAAGAGGGTTTAAGCAGCGATATATAGTTTCCCAGAGAATATTTCAGTGAACACTTCTTAAAATGGTGAAGAAGTTGTTTATCCACTGAAGGTTCAATGGATGTTAAAGGTTCTTCATGAAACCATCAATGCCAATAAAGAACCTTTTTTTAAAAAAAAAGAGTGAATGGCAAAGAGACGCTTGGACGTTGCACCTATCATATCCTTTGTGTTTCATGGAACTGACATGGTGGTGAGAAAAAGATCATATAATGAAATAATTTGTAATTTCTGGATAATTCATTCAGTTCAAATATGATATGTAGATTTTTTTTTTAATTCTAGACCTGTTGCTATAGCTAGAAGTATCTTGCTCTCAGAGCTAGATATACTGTAGCACCTTTGTGAGTTTTAAAGTCTATTTGAAATGTTTTTGCATAGTATGAGGGGACAATTGTAATTGTCAATCTATTCCAAAGCTGCGTTTATTTTTCACCTTTATGATAAACTGAACCGATGCTCTCTCATCAGGCACTCTGGTGATGCAGAAGAGGATGAATCCCAGCAGAGACACCACACACATCTGCAAAACACGAAAATACAGTAGAGAAATTTTAATAGACTTGTCACTCAGACCCCAAATGTACCAAAAATAATTGAGTTGGAGGGTGGGTCACCATTATCATGTGCAACTCACAGTCTGTTGCTGGAATTTTTTGTCATTGTTGCCATGAACACATACCAGTCACTGGATTGATCTAATCTTATTTGCAGTGCAGCAGAGCTCCTACGTTTCTGTGTCTGCCAGGCTTGTCATGAGCCAACCATAACCCTCATTGTAATCAGCATTGTGCAACTCAGCATTGAGCTGTCATCTGATAATATATTGACTGCTGCAGAAAATTGAATAGCTTGACCCCCCCCCCCCCCCCCCCCCCCCCCCCTTTTTCCTTTGAGCCCTCCATGATATCTTTATCTCTCACGCTTTTTATCTCTCTCTTTTCTTCTGTCTCTCTCTCTCTCTCTCTGTGTGTTTTCCCCGCTCTTTTCTCAGCGTGATTGGAGTCTTGTGACTAACGTGTGGTATCTAATTTGATTGTTTTTCCCAGGTTCTGAGGCAGAGAAGTCTTGGTGACCTCAGCGTTTTTCTCTAGGAACAGTAGCCCTCTAGTGAGGCCTAAACTTAAGATCTATGATCTATATTGCTCCAATAAAATGTGTGCGTTTTATGATTCTGAATTTGTGTATTCAACAGAGCCGTCGCTTTATGTTTTATTGCCACATTAGCTAATGTTTTACATAATAAAAGTGTTGTTAGGGGTTGTGTGGCAGAATTGAACAGAGAAAGCTTCATTTCGATTTCTTGATTTGAATTGAGGCAGCAAACAGGATGCAAAACTGCAATTTGAATTGAAATGTAACATTTTAAGTTGGTAACACTTTACCATTAGTTAACCACATTCCTCTTAATGTTAATTTCAACATATACTAATATATTATTAATTTCAAAAGTTGTTTTGAAGTTGTAATATTTTTTTTTTAAAGTTGTAATGTTATTTAATGGACCTGAGCTAACATGAACTAACAAAGAACAGTTGTACTAAAGTTGAACAAAGGGACAGTTCACCTAAAAATGAAATTTCTGTCATCATTTACTCACCTTCGTGTTGTTCCAAACCTGTCTGAGTTTCTTTCTTCTGCTAAACACAAAATACGATATTGTTAAGAATGTTGGTAACCAGAGAGTTGATGATAGATAGCCATTGACTTCCATAGTAGTTTTTTTTCCTACTATGGATGTCAATGGGTCCCATCAACTGTTTGATTACCAACATTCTTTAATATATCTTCTTTTTTGTTCAACAGAAGAAAGAAACTCAGACAGGTTTGGAACGACATGAGGGTGAGTAAATGATGGCACAATTTTTATTTTTGAGCAAACTATCCCTTTAATACTGCAACAAATGCATTACAGTTACACAAACTTAAATTAAATCATGTAATTTCTATTATATTCATCTTAAAACTGATGCATGCAAAGATATTGTCCTGTATTTCAGACCCTGTTATGTTTTCGGTCTACGTGACTGAACATGCATGTCTGCACTCAGGGATTGCTTTGAGCTGGCTTGAATCTTTTGAACAATCGTTTGCTATTTATAAGTTTGATCTTACTCTCTTGTGATTCTCAAATAAACACAACTGTAGTATTTTTTGGATTTATTTAGCTGAGGAACAACATTCAGACTGCAGGAAAAAGTGGCCCAAAGCTGATTTTTAATGTGACTCAAATCTTTTTTTTTTTTCATTACAGTGTGAACACCACAAACCACATGGCAACTGACCTTTTGATTTACCGCTAAGCCATTTCCATACACTGTAAAAAAAATCGGTTAAATTTACGGTAAAAAAACGGCAGCTGTGGTTGCCAGAAATTTTCCATAAAAAATACGATAGCAACATTTTAGGTTTTACAGATTTAACTTAAATTTAATGTAAAATACCGTAGTACATTAACTGATACAACGTTAATATACCAATCTACTGAAGTTTTTTACTGAAGTATTTTATAATTTTGTAGTATACAGACACCAAACACAGTGGTGATGAGAATCACATGAAGATTCAAAGCCTATCACAAGCAGCTTTTCAACAAGTTGAGAAAGTCAAAACTAAGATAAAGGAGGTGCACAATGTTATTCACACAAACACTAAACACCATCATGGTAACACACATGACATAATGCAATAAACATTAATTTACCAACATTAGATGTAACATAAAACCTTAAATGTACATAACTTATAGGAAAAACAAAAACTAAGAAGAAACAGTTATTCAATGAAAATGCATAAAATGTGAAGTGTCTTGCAGGGAATTCTGGGAATGTCAATTTACAGTTTTCCAAAAACTTTAACAGTATTTTACTGCAAAATTACATTAAATGTACGGTTCGATCTATTACAGTTATTCACCATGTACCGAAACTTTCTGTTAACTAATTAACTGTTCTTCACCGTAGCATTCTTTTACCGTTAAAATCACAATCAGTTTTTACAGTGTAGCCCGGACCTCAGTCTGAACAGTCATATCATGCGACTTTTATGACTTTTCCATAAGTTTTAAGGTGACAGCTTTACACAAGCAAAACTTTAGGGGTCGTATCATAAACATTGAAATATTATCTCCTCGTGCTTGTCTTTGTCCTTCTTATCGCCTGTGCATCACCTTAGAAATTAACAAATAACACTGACTTCAGTGGCCTTCCCAGTAAACGTGCTGTATATGCAGGCTTTGTTTTTGTTCTTTTGTGCATGCGAGCCAGTTCAGGATCGGGATCAATTCACACTTGAATCTGATATTTTAAACACATTTTAGAAAGACAAAAAAAGCCTTGCAGTGTGAACGTATTATTTTTGTACTTGGATGCGCGCATGCTCTCTCTAACAGCATGCTTATATGCTTATGTACAGTACAAGGCTGTGTGGTCAATGAATCTGATGTGATGGCCTCATGCATGAAAGAGTAAAACAAGGCATGCTGGGAGTTGAGGGAGAGGTTGATGAAGAGCAAAAGGAAGCTTACAATGATGCCGGCCCAATGGGGCGTCTCCCTGGCCAGCAAAGAGGGGCTAATGGCAACCATGAGGAAGGCCACCCCTGCTACTGCGATGCCCAATAGAAGCTGGAACAGAGCGACAAGCAAAGGAAAGCGGCAGCCACAACATGTTTGGACATCCTCCAGTAATGGGCCTTCAGGTTTTGCTTTTCCCTTCTTCTCATTGGCAGGGGTTGCGTTGCCTCCTCCAGGCGACCCCTTCGGACTCGTCCCCGACCCCATAATTCCTCCTGTCTCGTGCTGAGATTCTAAATCTTCCTTTGAGGCCGACTGGATGTTCTTGCTCTCGCCCTCTATCTGTTTGTCCTTCTTTTTCTTTCTCGCCTGCCGTCTCTTTTGCTCTCTTTAGCTAGACTGTTCCTTCACGCTGCCTGCCGCCCCGCTTGCCCTGCCCTGCCCTGCCCTTCCCTCCCTCCTCACTGGAGGCTTCTCTCCCTACGCGATCCCTGCTCGCTATTCGGAAGCAGAAAGGGCTCTGAACTAATATGGAAAACATTTGGAGCAGATTCCACAAGAGCCACATATAGAGCACAAGGAGAGGAGACGGAAAGGAGGGAGGGTAGGAAAGGAGAGGGGAGACATAAAGGGGGACTCCAACACACGACAACTAATAGACTCCCTAAAACTAAACAGGAAACAGGGATCTTACTGAGAGAGCAGAAACAATTCTTGTCACTGGCAAACATGTGGGCGAGTGTTTGAGTCCTGCCAACTTCCTGCAACATACTGTGTAATCTATTCATTACAGCCTGGAGTTAGTCACATGATTTTGATGAAGTTACGTGATCCGCGGGCATGTGAGAGGGTTACAGTTAATCTCTTATGAATATCATGAGAGAGAGTAGATATTTCACTTTGTGTTAATTATGGAGATTCATTAACTACATGCATGACACGTTTCTTATTGAATATGTCTGTATTCACCTAGAGCTTAAGTAAAACTTTTTTTTCTCATTTTATATTTCATGCTCTGATTTGAATGGGTTCATCAGCTGAAGTGTTCTGAAGGCTGGGTATTGACAGAATGTGGTCTATTTTCAGCCACACTATATTGAGAGCTTATTCTATGTGCTGTTGTGTAATGTCACACCTCTTCTTATATCACGTATGCATATAAGCAAAGCAATCTCAGTAGATTTTATAGATATCAATTCATGCTCAAGATGCTGCACAAAACTCTAGAAAAGTTTCCATTATAAAGTTGCAAATACCATTGCAGACAAATAGAAAAACAAATTGAAACAGGTCATTTTGTTTAAAATAAATACCTGATAATCATAACTGTCCATTTGCAAATCTTTAAAAATATGCATTTAACAGATTACTTATAAATTATACTTACTGATAAGAAGAAGAAGATTTTATTGACATCAAGCATAATTATGACCCCACCCCCCACCAAAAGAGGTATTATCGTCTTAGACAAATAGTGAGAATTATATTTGGCAAACCTGATAAACAGCCTATATGAAGGCATTTTGATAATGCATTTATTTAGCGACATAAAAAGGTGCTTTTGAATGTTTGTTTACCTTAAGGTATGAAATATTTTTGTTGATGTTGTTTTTTCTAAAATGACAAAAATTATTTTGTGTTGGTTAGACTATAATAATTTGAATTGGCTTTATATAGAAACATTTAAATGTTATTAATAATACTATATTAAGTACTGGCATTTGATATATACATGTGTAGATATTATTCCTGAGACTTAAAATGCAATTATTTTAATGCTTTGGAGCGATATGCTGAGGATTATTTTTCAGAGTCTATTCAGCAATGAACTGACAACTTTCAATCCCCATTTAATTCCCAGACTCTCGAGCTGGTGCATTTACACGTGAGTGTGCGCGCGGTTTCTGCCTGGTGGAGGCGCGCGTGCGCGGTAGTCGCCACGAGCAGACTGAGTGCTGGGCAAAGTGGCAGCTCAGGCGAGCGCACACACACTTCATCATTCAGAGGTGCTGTGCGAGACCGGACACAACGCACTGACGCTCCGCGGATACTGGATTAACCAAACCTGATTGCAAAAGAAGCGAACAAGAAAGTGGGACAAAGTTATGGATGAAAGAATACCTAGAATGCAGGGCAGACAGTTCCTGGATCACGCGGATTTCTTGGGGTAATTTTATGTTCGGTTGTTTTGTTTTTAATTTTGTTTCAAGTAACGTTACTATTTTTTTAATGTGTGTTGAGATTAAAATAGTGTTTTCTTTTTATAGGGTTGAATATTCGTCCCTCTACATGTGTAAATCCAAAAGAGGGATGAAGAGAGAGGAAGGAAAGGTAAGCAAACTGTGGACCCGTGAGGGAAACGTGATGTCCGTCAGGTTCACGTAACACCTCGTTATTAAGAATATGAGTGATAATTATTACTTTAAGAACTTTTTTCAATGGCTGCCTGCTTCCCATTCACAGGACGCGTACAAGTTACCACACAGACTGATCGAGAAAAAGAGGAGGGACCGAATAAATGAATGTATTGGGCAGCTGAAAGATTTATTACCCGAACATCTCAAACTTACGGTAAAATCACCTGAATTTTTTTTTTAGTCTCGTTAAAATGTGTTTTGTACATTTATATTTTGTAGAAAGCATGAAATTAGGGAAATCCTATAAATGTTCGTATTGTCTTACAGACTCTTGGTCACTTGGAAAAAGCAGTAGTTCTTGAGTTGACGCTGAAGCATTTGAACGCTTTGACAGCTGTCACAGAGCAACAGCACCAGAAGATCATCGCTTTGCAGAACGGTAAATTACATAATATCCAACCCACACAATACAACCTGAGAAACATCTATACCACATGAAGTAAAACAGAGTAAATGTAGCTTAAACACTAACATAACTGCACATATGAGCGCATAATTATGTGTATTTTATATTTATCTTATTTATATGAATGTCACGTGTTTTTATATATTTAAATCTTATATATTTATATCTGTTTTGCATCTATCTATCTATGATCTATCTATCTATCTATCTATCTATCTATCTATCTATCTATCTATCTATCTATCTATCTATCTATCTATCTATATCAATCAATCAATCAGTGATCTATCTAATCTATGTACAGTTTATTTCTATGTATCTGTCTGTCTATCTGTCATTTTTCTGTTGTATATGACAGGACTTTGTCTTTGTTTTATGACAGGTGAGCGATCGTTAAAGTCCTCCCTCCAGGCTGACTTAGACGCGTTCCACTCAGGCTTTCAAGCATGTGCCAAAGAAGTCCTGCAGTATCTGAACAAGGTGGAGAACTGGACGGCGCGTGAGCAGAGGTGCACGCGACTCATCAACCACTTGCACAAAGTTTCCGCGCAGTTCCAGTCGGGCGCAGGGATCCTGCAGCAGCAGTTGCCAGGCGACGACGCTCCAGAGCGGGACACGCAGAGAGACACACAAGCCAACTGCGTCCCTGTCATCCAGAGGACTCAGAACCTCGAGCTGAACGAGAACGACACAGACACTGACAGCGGATACGGAGGAGAGGCGGAGAAAGGCGATGGCAAATGCGAGAAAGGATGTGACACAGCGAAAGGAGTTAAGATCAAGCAGGAGTTCGGAGACGAACGTGTCACCAAAAAAGCCAAACTGAACTGGTCTGCGAACGGTGCATCTGATTCCGCCAATACCCGACCGGACGTGGCGCTTATGAACTCTTTAATGGGAATGACGGGTGTTGGTGGACAACAGACTCCCTTTTGCATGCCGTTTTACTTCATAAACCCGTCCGCAGCAGCATCGTACATGCCTTTGTTTGACAAAAGTCATTTGGAGAAGTTGGTGTATCCAGCGGCTGCGGCGCTGACCACACCGTTCCCGTGGCTTTACCCCGGGATTCCCACTCACGCCTCCACCGCAGCTGCGGCCGCCGCTGCCATCGGTTTCCCCGGTGTGTGTGCCGATAAAACCTCCGGATTTGATGGAGCATCCTCAAAAGATGACGAGCCGCTGTCTCCTGACGGTGACCTGTCCAGCGACGCCGACCTGGCCTCTCCTGTGTCTGGGGACCATGGCTCAGAGAATGATGCCTGTCATCAGTCCCAAAGAAATGAAAATGATGGTACATAAAGCTGGTCCTTTTGACCGTTGAGTGCACACTAGTTTGCTTGTAAAATTGCTATTTATCTGTTTATCTTAATTTAATTGTCATTGAGTATTTAGTATAGTGTTTCTATGGATTTCCAAGCAAAGGCTATTCTTTTATTGTTTTTGTTTGTATTATTATAATTATTATTAGGATTCAAAATTTCACAACAAACTGGTTTATCAGAATGGGGAGAATGGGGGACGTTGTAACAGCCAGTGCCTTTTGCACTGATTCCTTGAGATATTTGAATGAAAATCCAATTGACTGCAGCCACTTTTATGTCCTTTATGTCTCGCCATTTAATGGCATATTAGTATTGACTGAAAAAATGTGTGAAATCTCAGACTTTGCTCTGGGGTTTTTTGGGTTGTTGTCTTTTTTTATTTTTTTATGAAGAAATGTAGTTTAGTGCAATACAAATTAATCCTCTTTAAGCTAAAGAACGGCACTTATCCTAGCTGAGTTTATTTTATTTTATTTTTTTGTGAAGATTTGGAAGTCACATATTGGACTCTTGGATGTAATGTTTGATATTGACCTCAAGCAGGCTGGTGTGACTGCTGCAGTATTTGTCAGATATAACTTTCTATTATAGTATGACTGGATTCCAGTCCTATTTCGCTCTTTTCAATGTTCAGTGCTTGAAAGAGTTACCTACATACCTCAACATACCGTAGAGTTTGGGCCACGACTCATTTCTTAGAGATGCTCCTCTGGCAGGGGTGGTGACGAAATGTTTCGACCGATTTTAATTGGACAAATGGTGTGAGCAACAATCCTCTGATGTAATGTTACAGCAGCCCCCTCTCTCTTTCCCTCTCCCGAACAATTGTTCCGAATCACTTGTTGTGAAGGAAATCAGCACTCCAGATGAGAATGGCGGGACCAATCACCTGTCAATCATCACTGAGAGTGCTTTGCCAACAATCTGACATCATTGTCCTGTGTCACCTCTAGCAAAAATATACAAGGTATTATAGCACCTTATGGAACTTTGATATTGAATGTAATCTGTGTTCTTTTGGTAGATATAAAAGTTTGTACTGTATATATTCTGATAAAAGTAGTTATTTAATCCAGAGGTAAAGTGCACTTTTTCTTGCCTTCTCAGTTTCCTATAACAATCCTCACTCTTCGTTTTTAAGCCAATGCCCTTTGAACTCAAACTATGATGTATGTCTTTCTTAAGGAAATCTTCTTAAATACAAGGCAAGTGTTGGAATATATGTATGACATCATACTCTTGAGCTAGCATAAACAAACAAACAAACAAACATGTGACAGGGCTCATTTTAGTCTGTAGTAGGAGAGACAGCTGTTGAAAAGTATGTAAGGTAAGAGATATGTGATTATATCAAATGTGTTTAGCCTTTTCTGAAACATTGTCACTATTCATGACCTTGAAAAAGCTAAATGGGTGATGCTGTGTATTGTACAAATGTTTTGGAGCACTGTAACATGACATGAATAAACATGTAAACAGACCTTTTAGATTGGAAAGATCTTACAAATCAGGAGATCATGGAAGGCTCTTGAGTTTTATTGAATGTGTTTATTTTTCTAGGCCTGGGTTTATTAATGCATAGGAACAGTGATGTACCAGCTGCCATTTATTTCTGCATTGTAACACATTTCATAGGCCCTATAGTGTCTTTGCCTCAACTGTCATTTGCCTAAACAGTGGCATGTGGATGTATATAGTTTGTGAATATGCTGTATGTTTAATGTTCATGTTGTAGAAGAAATCTATGGATTTTTTTAAAGGATACACTGAGAGACTGCTGCACATTTCCTTAATGCTTTACACATTTGCTGTTTGAAATTATGCAGCTCAGTTGTCAAATAAAAATAAGCTCATGTAAACAAAATGATATCATCCCCCTCATTCATTTCAGCACTGATATGCACATCATATTCATATAGGCTTATTACACAGTATAACAGAGTGACGGAATCATTCAGACTTCATTGCAGTCAGTGTTATTTTCAATGTGAACCACCCAGAAACACCCACTTACTTACAGCTGACATCAAGAGATCTGCTAACTCTAGCTTCATTTATGCATATTTAACATAACCTTTTGCTGTTTAATAAAAGGCAACCAGGAAATGTAAAAATCAGTTTAGTCTGAAACTGGATACTTCTAAGGAGTCAACCATAACTTTTGGATCAATAAAAGCTAAATAAAAACGATCCTGTTTAGAAACTAAAATGGGCCAATTTCTTTACTGTCATACCGTCAAAAGTGTTTAATTGGCCCAACTAACAAAACCTATAAAATGACCTTTTATATATTAAATAATTGGATCCTTTTTGCTTATGTTTGGATGTTTGTGTTGAGAACCAAAGAATGAGTCAGCTTGAAAATCAGCTGACATGAGATTCATAATGTTGGAATGTTGAACAACCAAAGTTAACATGTGATATGAATCTGTAAAACAAGGAAGCTAACCACAGACATACAGTACATTACATTCTTAGACAGAAAAATCTGCAAATCATAGCTTTGTGTAAAATAAAAAGGATAAACCAACAGCAAGAGCTCGTCTACTACATGCTTATATAAACATGTAGCTATAGATGTCTGGAAGTATTATGTAATAGAGATGTGATAAATGGTGTTATTTCAGTGGTTGCACTGAAATGAAAACGAGTTATTTACTTCTTCAGGACACCCATGTTGGAGATGTGTGAAGTGATAAGAGCGCATTCGGTTTTACATTTCCAGATTCTGTTATGCTGAACAAGTTCAAGAACAAAAACTTTGTTGCAAATGTGTGGAATCTGCTGTCAGTGTCCAGACGGAACTTTACCACGTTCTCAAACTGGAGCGAGAACATTATCGAGCTCACACTGACCTCTAGTGGTAAAACTGTGAAGACACATGTAGTTTATAGCTTATACAGTTTCAAGCTTATACAGTTTATACAGTTTCAAATAGTGGTGTATTCAGGTTAACTGGGACATATTTTGCTTTTGAGATGACTGGGAAAGGTGTCCCAATAAACCTGAATTCACCCCGTGTGTCGTCTTGTTGAAAAAAAAAAGGGAAAAGGTAAACTGTGATAAAGCACACACGTTTTAGGGATGTACGAGGAAACGAAGGAAGGCTATATTATTCTCCACAATCCTGTGTGTAGCCTGCATTTGTTAATTAGAAGGGAAAAAAAAACCCAAATGTAAGTTTGTGACTAAACTAAAATATCTTAGTTTATATCTGTGAGGATTTTATTTCAAAATGTAGGCTAATTGAGATTTATTAATTATAATAATTCAAGCATTAGAATAGAAATCAATAAATCTCTTTTAAATGGACAAATTAATAGACATTTAAAACTATTTATTTAACTCATGTTTTAAAATGAAGTTAAATAAAATAATATTTTAATAATTTATTTTGAATTGAAGAATACATTGTCATTTAAAGAGGTTTATTTACTTCATGTTTTAAAATGTAGTTCAATGAAATAATGAAATAGTAAACACATTTTACATCATTGTAAATTCCAGTAAAATAACACTAAATAAACAGCTTTTTATGTCTATCTGTCAATATGTCAAATTGTCCATTTTAAAAGTGATGTACAGCTTGAAGTGTAAAGCTTGTTCTCATACCTATTTATGAATTAAATTGTCTTATGTCTTTTTTCTGATCCTGTCGCCCCCTCTAGTGGACAGCATCAAGTATTACGGCCTTCATTGCTCAGATATCGCTTTTTTGGGAAAGTTACCAGTTAGAAAAGATATAAGCGAGTCAGACTAGTCTGAAGGTCTGAGCTGAGTCTGGTGAAGCATAAGTTCTAGGTGGAGTCTGTCAATTACTCTCACAATAATAAATAATAATAATGTTTAAATATATGCTGGCTTTCTCAAGCCAACATAGGCTAATAAAAAAGCCTCAGAGAAACATCAACCAATTGTAGACTGAGAGTTTGGAAAAAGAGACTACAACCGGGCCCATGCGAAAACAAGGATAAATAGTAGGGAGGTTAAGCCCAAAAAATAGGCCTTTGACTTCAAGTCATGATGCAAAGGTCTCCTTTGGTATGGAAGTACCTTAGGGTCATACAAATAAATTTATCCCAAGACACAAGTGAGATCACACTTTGTATCAGAAATAAACATGTTTTTTCAAAAATGCCCGCCAATGCGCCGAAAATACTCTAGAGCCCATATCTTTGCTTCTGTTATCGCTATAATGACAAATTTGGTGTCAAAGTGTACATTTTTGGGGTCAAGGAATCCAATAAAATTGGTTTCAAGTTTAAAAAAATAATAATTTTCCCCATACCATGACAATTGGGGGTAAATATGCACATTTCACATAAAAATTGTCATCAGAGTGACTTTACTTATCTTTTCGTTCAAAAACTTTAATTTTGTATTTAAGCAGTGCAGCTACTTCTGTACAATACATTTGTCCTAAGTAGCATGAGATTTCGACCAGTCAGGAGTAGCCTATAGCATATCAGTTCCTGCAACAACACATCCCATCTGCACCAGGAGCTGTGACAGCTGTTGAAGGTCAGAGGTGACAGGTTAACACTTTGAGGTTCGTATGACTTTCTCATTAAATAGAAAAATGTTTTTAATGTTAGATAACTAATAAATAGCTAGCTAGTTGACTATGGAAAAAAAACCTTAGAGGGAAAACCTCTTTTCTCGAGAATACTGAAGCCAAAAATTATCCTTATAATTTGTATTAATTTAAAACACACTTGCTGCAGCTAGCAGACCTAGGCGAGGCAGCTCGCGCGCCTATTGGATGCTATGCGGCAACTGCTGCAACCTATCGAGGCACTGCTCGTGACATAAGCACCAATGAGTGGGCCTGTGGGCGTGGCTTATGCCTATATAAGCCAGAGCTCGATAAGATGCTCCTTGGTTTTCATCGACTGAAGCGAAACCAGATGGTAGCACAAGCACGGCAGGGTTACGCAACACTCATTCCCTCTTCTAGAGAGAACCGAGGTTACGTTAGTAACCGTGACGTTCTCTTACGAGAGTACTCTCGTGTTGCGTAAGCTAGCTTACGCTACGGGAATCCAATTTAAAACGCTGTGCGTGCTAAATCTACCACAACACTGACCCAAGGGCGAGCGCCCTGAGTTCATATGATATGGGGATATAAAAAGCCGACATTGGGAATGGATGTATAAGCCAGTGAGATAGCGTCCACTATCCACCTGGAAAGGCTATGTTTCGAGGCAGCTAGACCTTTAGATCGGCCACCAAACGAAACAAATAGCTGTCCTGACCGTCTGAAAGCAGCCGAACGTTCCAC